GCCGAACGTCATGAATGGGAACTCGAATAAGCCAAAGGGAGTGAGAATGGCCGTTTTCGGTATATCTTCTTCGCGAACAGGAATTTGTTGGTACGCTCTAATGAGGTCTATGGATGAGAAAACTCTTTTTCCAGCTAAAATGGAACTGCAATCTGTTAAAAATGGTAGAGGGTATCTATCAGGAATCGTGACGTTGTTTAACGCTCGATAGTCTCCACAAGGTCTCCAATCACCTGATTTCTTCATAGCGAGATGTAGTGGGCTCAACCAGTTACTTTTGGATGGTCTGCATAAACCCATTTGGAGCATAAATTCAAACTCCGTTTTTTAGCCGCTTTAAGTTTCTCAGCTGATAGTCTCCTGGCTTTAGCGAAAACTGGTGGACCTCTGGTTTCGATATAATGTTCGATGTTATGATTTTTAACTTTATTATTAACTACATTCAGTTTTAACAAATCCGGAAAATCGTTAATGATACGTTTATATGGATCATTTACGGCATTTAAAATCGGAATATTATTATTGTTATTTTGAAAACAAGGAGTTCCATTGGTTGTTAAGAATGTAGTACCATCAATCAACTTGCGATTTTTAGAATCTACCAAAAGGTTAAAATTTGCAAGAAAATCCATGCCTATTATCGGTTTGTTTACGTCCGCAATTACAAAAGGCCATGTGAATGATCGTCTGAGTCCAAGATCAAGCTTGAGTAATTTTTGGCCATATGTTTTTAATTTTCGTACCATTTGCATTTGCAAAGCAGTTCTAATTTTGAGATGATTTTTTTTATCTGCAGGCAAGGGAGGAATGACAGAAATTTCTGCCCCAGTATCTATTAAAAATTGGGTAGCCGATTCTTTGTCGCTGATGAAAAGACGACTCAGCTGCACCCCTTGTCCCTCCGTCGTCAATGAGAGACGGGGAGCTGGTTTTCCGGACTATTTGTCTGTGATGTTGATGAGTAGTTGCAGGATTGTTTACACTTAAATGACTTATCACCGAGCTTTTTATGGTAGTAACAAATATCACTAGATCTGTTACCACTGTAACTCCTATCTCTTGATTTGGATGGGTTACGACAATAAGGACGACTGTGACGTTGCTTGGATAAAGCAGAAACTTGTAAGCTAAATTCACTAACCTGTTTTTGTAAAACTTTCAATCACTTCCGTTTTTACCGTTATGGAAGAAGCAGCAGCTATTTGGGGAGTAACAGGGTTTAATTCCCAAATCTTATCGGCCATTGTAGCCACTTTTGACAAATCTTCACTACTAACAGATATAATGCTACGCATATTAACGGGTAAACGTTGTAGCCACAATGTTTTTAGGAAAGTATCTGTTACTTTATCGCCAGCCAAATTACGCATCTCACACAGTAATTGAGATGGCTTTTTGTCACCCAGTTCTAACTCACTCAGTAATTTTTGGGTTTTTTGAGTCTCTGAATCAGCATATAATGAAATTAGTCTATTTTTAATTGCCTCATATTTATTATCTTGTGGTGGACTTAGCAGAATATCAGATACCTGTGACAAAATATCAGGTTCAATGGAACTTATAACATAATCATATTTTGTTTGATCTGCACTAATTTTTGCATTTCTAAATTGTGCTTCTAGTTGAATAAACCATATTTTAGGATCTGGCTTCCAAAAAGGAGGAACTTTAACGCTTACCTTGGCGACAGATGCAGTTGTTGCTTTAATTTCGGTTTCGTCTTCGTCAGCCATTGTAGAATTCGATCACGCCGGGATACACCAGTGAAGTGTCTGGTGTGCAAATATAGAAAAATAACACTTCTCTGACTCCTATGGAACCAATATTTTATTCCATACGATGTTATAGATTCTTATTCATAAGATTTATTTACATTTTACATGCACGTAGCATCGCGTGACAAAAACTCGAAGTTTGTTTACTTCGCGGAGACTAGAAGGTGTTGCCATTCCGCTTTAACTAAATTTAATTAGAAATGTAACGGAACTGAAGCGACACTACAATGGGCCTATAAATTTTTCTAGAAGCTTGCAAGGCATAGGTGTGGAAAGCGCGGCCTCCATGAGTTTCTCTCGCGGGCTCTAGCTCTTACGTTAATTAATATTTGATTATATAGATTACAACAATTTGAAAATCAATAGAATTAAATAAGATTTTCAGATTTTGATGAGCACACATCTGCTATGAAACTGGGATTTGAAGCACATGTAGGAGATATTGTTGAAATTATTTCTTTTTCCCTGCGATGAAACAAATTTTTCTTTTATTATTTATCGTCTGTCGCCGACTAGGTCACGTGACTGGCGGCAGAGAAAGAATGTAATAACTCTTTTAGTTTAGTTCGAATTCGACGCTTGAAATGATCTGTTCTTGGCCGCATAGCGGTAATCAACAATTATAATAATTGTTCTTGATAAACTAATCTTGGCCCTGTGATGGGGAAATTTATATTATATGTAAATTTTGTGCTTTGAATAATGTAAATAATGTACATAAGCGCTTCATTAAATATTTCTGTGTTTCAACTAGAAGTTCCTATTTTCAAGTTGAGTCTTTACGTGAAAATGGTATATTGACTCTTGATTATATTAGTATATTCTTGATTAAATTGATGCTCTCCCAACTCATGAATAAAAAGGAATTGTGAATCGTGATCATAACGTTCAAGTTTTACACATAGATATACCCAAATCTCCTACGGAACTACAAATGGAGTTTGAGCTGACGGAGAATAAAATCCTCAAATCCCTTTTTGACGCTAAAAAGGGGAAATCAGGGAGAAGTGCTCTTGAATATTCATGTCTACGAGAGCATTGCACGCTGTTTATGGTTATAATTACTTTCAGGCCAGAAACAAATGCATTATTAATATTATTACTTTTCTATTGTTTATCCTTATAATGTAATACATTTATTGAAAAATACTTCTACTTTGCTATTTTTATTTGAAACAGTATTTAAATATGTGTAGTTATTTATTAAAGAATTATTAAAGATTAATATTATAATAATAAGTTATTAGCCTTATGTGAATACAAAAATATTTTATATTGTAAATTTGTATTTTAATAAATGACTTGATGCCTTTTTTGCATTATTTCAATATAATGCAATAAAGCGATAAAACTTTACAAAAACTATAAAAGTCGCATTTATAGGTGTATCAACTTATGGGGCCTGCTTTATCACTGCCTAATTTAAATGTGACCTGTCATGGTAAAAAGGTTCTCCACCTCTGTTCTAAACACAGAGCTGTGGAACGGAGACGGGAGAAAATTGCCTCAACAAACTTTCACACTCCCCCCCCCCATATAAAAATTTCTGTCATTTTAATACAGCAGTTATAGCTACTGAAAACCAATACACTACGATGTCTTTTAATAAAATCTGATTTCTAATTAGAAACGAAGTACAAGACAGTGCTATATTTATAGGTGACATTAGTAGCAAATGAAATTTTAAAACAAATTTTTATCAAAATTCAAAACCAATATATTGCAATGTAATTAGAGAAAAGTGAAAATCGTTCACTCTGTTTTAACGTCTGTTATCGCACATCGGTTTTAGGTAATAAATCTGTGCTGATTTATTTAGACATTGAAAACTGTAGAATTTAAATTTCATTTTCCTGTTGCTTATGCTCAAACTTTTGTCTGACGTTTTGTCACCTATCTTGTGTCTCCCACCCCTCTCCGAGATTCGAACCCGGGTCCTTCGGCATGGCAACTAGCGACGTTAACTGCTATACCGGTTGGGCGGCCTAATGGTTGCCTATCAAGTGAAAATTTTTTTTCATGTTTCTGATCTATTGGTTTGGTTTAGTTTGGTTTGGTTTATTTAATTACGGCAAAGCACACTAGGGCTATCTGCCTAAGGGGAGGGATGCCTTCGTGGAGAATTTTCTACGGGAAATTGGCTCGTATACACGTTACACATGGGAAAAACCACGAAAACGCCCATGCAGCAAGCCCGTTCGTGGGATTCGAACCTCGAACCGAACTACCAGTGCTCAGCGACTTTACCGCTCGGCCGCTGGTGGGCCTTCTGATTTATACAAGTAAACTGCGCAATGTTTTAGCTCGTCAGGCGGGACGCACTGCGTCCTACATAAATGAATAAATAATGGTTTACGAAATATGAAATAGATAATGAAACAAATTCCAAATTCCGAATTTGAACTTCCAGACGCCCATATTCGGGTGGAAACGTACGTTATTCAAAATTTGATGACTCGAGGTATCGTCGTTTTGCGAGAAACATGCAGATTTATGCAGATTCTTCATTATCTAATTTTTTTAAATATAATACAGGGCTGTAATATTTGGTGGCAACAGTTTGTAAAGTGAACCGACATTTAAAGTTTTCATCGCAAAATGCCAAAACGAAATTAATAGCCCTTTCCGGGCTAAAAAATTTAAGAGATCTTAAAAATTAAAATTAACGTTTCTCTTACAAGCATGAATAAAAAAGAAATATTAAAATACTAAAAAAGTGTCAAACCTACTGCAAAGCCTGGCTTTGACCGCTGCCCCGAAAGCACCTGCCAGGGCAATTATTTCTTTGACATATTATAATTTTTTATGACAATAAAATTATATATGATAAAAAAAAATAAAAAAATAAAAAAAAAAACAGGAAAACGTATGCCAGCATTTAGCGCTGCGTCAGGAATTCTGAATTTATACTGTTATGCTGCTTTTAAAATTTTCGTAATTTTGCTGTTGATTTTAATATAACGTAAGTGCAAAGAAAGTTATGTTTAATAATAAAGCTAAAAGGACAAAGAGGGAGTTAGTAGAAATGGGTGCAACAGCAGACTGGCTGACTGTGAGCTGAACGAGAGCGTAAAAAACCTTAACAAACTCTTTGGGGACACCTCTAAAATCTGAAGCCTGTGAGACCTTTTTAAATTTTTTCTTTTATTATTTTCTTTTATTTTAATAAATTAGTTATGTATTCACTATGGCTAACTAATAATAATAATAAAGTTTCTCACTCACTTAATATCACAGGGCTTGGCCTCCTATAAGGATTCCTCTGCTGTGGCATAAGATAAACATACGAAGGCAAAACTGAAAGCAGCGTAACAAAGACTACGCTGATTGTTGCAATAGATGATAAATAACCGTTCATTGAAGCTCAAGACTTTGGCGGCCAATATAATCTAAAACGTTGTATCTGGAATCTGAACAATCTAACTCGGTTTGGTCTTCTAATTGATGAAAAATACTCTTAATCACAGTCTTATACTCCCCATTACTCAAGGGCAATCACATTTAATCATGTGAGCTCGAAATGGTCCGATTCTGCGTCAGATTATTTGTCTTTGCCTTATCTTGTTAGTCCTGGTTGGAGAAAAGAAAACAAGCAATTTTAATTGTCTTTGACACACCTGTTTTCACCAGATTTTTCTCACTTCTTCAAAATCGATATTAAGATAATTACACAAATATATTTTTTACAGAGGCTTTTCGCACATTTTTTAGACAATTTTGGTAAGCGCTAATAAAAAATCGTTTGCTGCAAAAGAAGTAATTGCAATTGTACTACTATGTTTTTAAAAGTCAAAATTATCGTCTGTGGCTTGAAAGTTTTGTTTTTATTCAAAATGGCGAATTTAACAAAGCAGTGGTTCGAAGGCTACATCTCAGAGATCAAGAAATCAGCAAAATGTATGTGGTTAGAATTTTAATTCTATTTCACATTTTACTTATTCTCTAAATACATAAATACTTTTTTTTTATTACCAGAAAGAACTTTTCGTACTTGAGCATTTAAAATCGGATCCTTGGAATATCAATTTAAAAACTGCGTGTTTGAATGTGAACCTCTAATTTACACAATTTCTGTACTATTCCCAAAGTATATCTCGTAAATAGTCTCTTAAACTGAACATGTTATCTAAGCATTACGTTTTCGAGATAGAACTCTCTTTTCAGGTTTACGGTAAAGTTAGCATAACATGAACTTTTTAAATAGGTTTGAAAAAAGATATTTGAAAAAAAAAAAAAAAAAAAAATCTGAAAACTTTCGGATTTTATACAGTGTCTCAAAAAAGTGATGGGACATGTGTGCTTTACAAAAGGAAACTGTAGTAAAATAAATTTTAAAAAAACATGTAAAAATTTTTTGTGGGTGTGTTTCATACTTAAATTTAGTAACAATTATTACATAACAAACATTTTCTCAAAATATTAAAATACCAATTTAATAAAAATACAATTGTTTAGAACGGAGCAAAAAATGGCTCACATAAGTGATGGGACACTTACTTTTCCATCAAATATTTATCCAAAAAGTTTACTTTTTAAAAGGTTTTAATATTTTGTTGGATTTCCTTTTACTTTTAAAACATGATTTAATCTTCTTTGGATGGATTCGATTTTTTTTTTTTTTTTTTTTTTTTTTTTTTTTGTGATTTCTGGAGTGATTTTACTCCATTCGTCTTGAAGCAATGATTTTAATTGTTGTTTTTAAGAAATGGTGTGTTTTCGAATTCTTGATTCCAATTCTTGCCAAATATTCTCTATGGGATTTAAGTCTGGAGATTGTGGTGGTGTTTCTATTATTTCGGGACAGTTATACAGCAGCCAGAGTCTAACGTTCAAAGCAGTGTGCTTGGGGTCATTGTCCTGGTAGAATTTAAAATCGTTATGAAGGTTCAATTTTCGTGCTGAAGATTTCAAATTTTTGATTTAAAATGTCAATATACTTGTACTGATCCATTATACTGTCAATAAAAACAAGATTACCAACTCCAGCGGACGACATACACCCCCATACCATAACTCCTCCTCCACCATGTTTTACTGTTGGCACCAAGTTCTGTTTGCGAAATTCTTCCCTGGGTTTTCTCCACACCAAGATTCTACCGTCAGAACCAAATATATTAAATTTACTCTCATCAGCAAATATAACTTCATTCCAGTAATCAGAATTCTTATTTATGTTGGATTTTGCGAAAGCCAGTCTGAGTTTTTATTCTTTTCACTTACGAAGAATTACCGTGATATCCAGCAGATCGAATTACTCTTCTAATAGTCCCAGGATTAACAATTACTCCATATAATGCTTGTAAATCAGCAGCAACTTTAGGAGCACTCATTCTTGGATTTTTTTAGATATTTCGAACGATAATTCGCTTTATTCCATTGGATAGCTTTGATGGTCGTCCAGGTCTTCTTTTATCCTGAATCATATGATTCTTTTTATATCGTTTAATGATATTGAAAACTGTTGAATGACTCAAGTTAACTGTTTCAGCAGTTTCTCTAATAGATTTTCCACGTTCAATATGCAAATTAATAACTAATTTTTCGAATTTCAGGCAAAGTTTCTTTTCGTTTAGCATTCATGGCTGCACAGAGCTAAAAACACAAAAATTCCAAAACAAACTGGAGAGAAATACTGCAGACGATTTTATAAATTATTGCCAATTGCTTTTGAGTAAAAATAAAAACCCCAAAAAATATTTTTATTAATAGTACGTAGTAGTATCTAATGGTGTCCCATCACTTATGTGAGCCATTTTTTGCTCCGTTCTAAACAATTATATTTTTATTAAATTAATATTTTAATATTTTGAGAAAATGTATGTTATGTAATAATTGTTACTAAATTTAAGTATGAAACACACCCCCAAAAAATTTTTACATGTTTTTTAAATTAATTTTATTACAGTTTCCTTTTGTAAAGCACAAGTGTCCCATCACTTTCTTGAGACACTGTATTACGACGAAAAGGGCATTTTTTTTTAACGATTTGTTTAACGATAACCTTTATTTATTAAATATCTTATTCCTATTTAAATATGTTATTATATAATATATTTAAATAGGAATAAGATAATATATTATTTAAATATATTATAATATAAATAGGTTGAAAAAAGATATTTGGAAAAAAAAAAAAAAAAAAGTTTGAAAAGGGTATTTTTTTTTTAACGATTTGTTTAACGATAACCTTTATTTATTAAATTTCATATTCTTCGCCCTTAAACCATATAAAATTCAATTCAACAGCAATATCACAAAATATTAGAAGCAACATATCTTTAGAATTTCCGATACACAGTCTCGTGCGCTGGAGACTTCCCCCCCCCGTAGTCTTGCCATTGTTCCCTTTAAAATCGTCGAGTTTGTTAATCAAAAATTCAATTAAAGTTTTACAAAATTTGAAATAAATAATAAAACAAATTCGAAATTCTAAATTTGCGTTTCCAAGTATCCATGTTTGGTTGCAGAACTACCGTTATTCAAAATTGGATGGCTCTTAGTACAGTTGTTTTTTCACAATGCGATAAAGATTCATGCATTCATCCAGATCCTTCATTACCCAGTTTCTTTAAATATAATACACGGCGATAATATTTGGTGGCAACAGTTTTAAAAGTGAATCAACGCAGAAAGTGATATGACGCAAAATGCCGTTTTGAGGCTAATAGCCCTTTGGGTCTAATATCCGTTTGAGTTAAAAAAAAAAAAAAAAAAAAAAAAAAAAAAATTCGAAATTGGAAAGACTTATCATGTAAAGGTAAGCAAATGGTTGAACTAAATTCCATTTTTCATCTTTTCTTTCTAATTTCCGTATATTCTGGCGTATAACTTAGTCACCTAAACTTCATGCAAAGTTTCAATGCACCATTGATGCTATATAGTGGCGATATATAATACAATAAACATGGAAATATGTTTCATTTGATTACAACTCGATGTTATCTTAAAGTATGGTCATATTGATTTTTAATGAATAATTACCGTTAAAATATTTTGAGAACTCTATACATTAAATGAAAGCAAAAGATCAGGAGATTAATGTAGCATTAAATCTAATTTAAAAATATATTGCTTGAAAGACTTATGAAATCATAAGTGACATTGCTATTACAGTTTTAATAAAATAGATCCATTATTTTAATGAACAATTATTTAAATAGTGCGCGTTTCGTCGGGGAGGAGACGATGATCCGTGCATAGTATAGTAAATGTTTAACGATTATTTACCAGAAGGGTTGTCCGTTTCAAAACTACTTCAACTATGTTGTTTATAGACTTGTCAGCCCACGCCCACGAGCGCTAGATTACGCCTGTCGTTGGCAACAGCCTTGAGCACCATTTGGGTGACAGTGCGATTTGGCTCAGTTCCGCCCCCAATTTTGATGAAGAGTACTCCAGCGGGGACGTGTCTGAGGGTCTCCCACCCCTCTTCAAGCAAGCCACACGAGAAGACTTTCGGTTCGCCGTATATTTAGAGTGTCGCCATGCCGCACCGGCACGATACATTTACACACTCATGCCTTCTCTTGGATTCGAAACCGGGCCCTTCGGCACAGCAATCAGCAATGCTAATCCCCATAGCGGCTGGGCGGCGCTTCAGCTATACATACAGCTTTGGTCTGTTCAACTTCCCCATTTTTTGTTTTCCCTTGTCGCTCCCGCACAATTTATTTCACATTAGTTTAAAATATGATAATTTTGCTTCAGAACTCCTTCTAAAGCAAATAGTCAGAGGGGTTTTTTTTTTGCTGATAAACTTATAGGGCCGAGAAGTAGAAGAAATTTAGTATGTGGCTAATTTGGGAACACTCATTTATAGTTTTAAGCTATGTTATATATATTTTTAATAACTATTTGGTATAAAAAAAGAATTCTATTATGTGAAAGAAAGGATGAAATGAACCGATCTTTGATTTTTCTCCTCGCTTAATACCTGCATAAGTGAAAAAAAAAAAAAAAAAAAAAATGCTTGAAATGGCACGATTGTTGTTGCCGCCTGAAGTGGGAAATACTGAAATGGGACATAATTTTGCAAAAATCGCTGCACGCCATTGTATCGTCATTCACAAATAGTGTGTGTACAAAATGTGAACTCAGGAGCTTATCAGGAAGTAGTTAAAAATCGATAACAAACTTTTGACCATACCAACGGCCATCATGAATGAACTAAATCAAAACTTATAATAAATTAGATTAACGTATACAATTTTCATTTTTTGAAATAAAAGTAATGAATTTCCAAAAGTGGCAGTAATGACCGAAACAGGTTTCCAGATCACTAACACAAACATTGAACAGCAAAAGATATCTAGAATTAAAGGAGAAGGGAAAAAATATTGAGAAGAGAACAATAGCTAATTTTTCTATGAGGTTGTTTTGCAACTTTTCATGTTAGAGGGCGCTGTTGCACTAAAGAAAATATTCTGTGTTTATATTATGCAACTCTTGGTTAGCCGTTGAGATGCTGC